AGGAGATTTTACTGACTTTATCAAGGGTAAAATTTCCCGACTGAGTTGTATACACTGTGGCTGTGTGTGTGTTTTTACACGATGCATTTGTATTGTTTATATCCTTGAAGGAGAGCGGTACTGTTCAGGTGCAGGTTTGGGTTCATCTAGGGTGGATGCAGCCCAGCTGTCAGGATGAGGCCCAGCCAGTCACTACCCCTTACGTTATATGAAGTGATGAGAAAGTCATCAATGTCACAGGCCCGTTTTTTCTCTTACAAGTTGCTTTCAGAAGGCCTTCTTGCCGTTCACGTGGGCCTTTATGTGACCCCAGAGTACGGCGTGTTTGTCGTGGACATTCTTCTTAAACAAGGGTGTCCTGCCTGGACCATCTGTCGAGCTTGGAGAGCATCAACAGATGCGTTTGCTCAGATCAGTAACAGCTCAGTCCTCATACGGTCATGGAACAGTTCAGGTTGGAAGGGACTCCGCTCTGGCACAGGTGGCAGAAGCCCCATCCCTGGAAACGCTCCAGGTCAGGTTGGACGGGGCTCTGAGCAACCTGGTCCAGCTAAAGATGTCCCTGCTCACTGCAGGGCCTTGGACTAGATGGCCTTGAAAGGTCCCTTCTCAGCCCTAACTATTCCATGGTTCTGTGACTTCAGGAGGTCTGTGGTCCAACCTCCTGCTCAAAACGGTCTCAGCTCTGAGATCAGACCAGGGCTGCAAGAGCTTTCCTGACACGAAGCTGGTACAGATGAATGTAAGAGCACCACGTGTATTTCCTTCTCCCACCACGTATTTCTCACCAAGAACAGTAGTTCAGCCATTCCTTCTAAGAGCACTTCTTCTCCAAAGGTTCCCTTCCCTCACTGCTTAGTGTCTTGCACAATAGAACGGCAGGATGCCCCTAAGTCTTTAACTCACGAGTTCCTCCAAAACCATCCATTTCTCGACGAACAGCGGTAAGGGAGCCCAAAGCGAATCTGTAGAAAGGTTTGGTTACAGTGCTTGTAAGGGTTTTGCTGGTGACGCCACGCGTGACGGAGATGCCACCGTGTTCGAGCGAGTGGCCAACCGTGGTCGTTGGACTGCTGAAACTGAAACCGAAGCGGTATTTTCGCAGCGATGGAGAAACAAGTGTCATATGCTCTGTTGTCATAGTTACTTTGTCTTCAAAGTACAGCGTTTTGATTTTTTTGTTCTTTTTTTTTCTTGGAAGGACTTTTCCAGCTAGTGCGATACAGCGCTGTTACTTCGGTGGGCTGCTTTTGCGGGCCTGTACCTAAATCAGAATTAAAGTGTCTAATTAGAAGCTGCTACGTACAGTTATTCCCCAGTCCAGCAAGGACATACGTACAGATGGAGCTGAGCATCTCCATAAAACCTGCTTAACACGCTGGAGCTTGGCTCGGGCTCTGGGGTAGGGCCGTGTCTGCTTGCACGTCACCGGAGGAGCCTCAGGATGTAAATACAAGCTTTTGTTTTTCATATGTCAAACCAGCACTTCAGTCGTGGATAAATCAGAGGATAAAACCCTCCCGTTTCATAAGGCAGTCATTTATGGACTAAGCCATACCTATGAGTTTTGATCCAAGAGCGGTGTTGCTAGCACAATACAGGATACTCCAGGGTAGCTACTTAGGCAAGGATTAGCTTCCAGCTGTGCTGTAAATACCATTCTGAACTGGATTGTGCACTCCCAGTTGCATAGCTTGCAGCCAGAGTTGATTTACGTGTTAGGATTGGCATGGGGCATGTCTCTTAGCTCTTAATCTGTTTGTTTTCACAAAAAGTAAATTGAAGTTACATTTTTTTAAGCAGATGAGGGAAGTTCGTGTTATGTCCGCTACCAAAACGTGCAAGGAACCTTTTCAAATACAGAAGAAGAAAGTCTGCCTGCGAAGGGTGGGATTGGGGGTCCGGTCAGGCCCAGAGACCCCGTCCTCTGTCTGGTGCCAAGGACAGGGAAAGAAGCAACTTGTTTTCTCACCCGAGGAACTTACGCAGTACAGTGGAAGCCTAGATAAGGGGAACAAAATGATCACAATGATACAGTGAAGTGTTTCTCAACTGGTTAGTCATCACCTGTAAGAATCACAAAAGGTAATCAGCCGGGTCATGAGAACCTGACATTCCTGTTGCGTTTTGCAGCCATGGAAATCATGCTCAACCTCCGCCGTGTACATACCTCCGCTTAAAGGTCAAGTATTTTCTGTCTGTTTTGAAACACAGACAGAAATGAATTATAAAAACTTATTTTTTGTTATTTGTGTCATACACACTTTTTGTATTAATCTCAAGATACAATTGTAAAAATGTTTTACTTTGAATCGGGATTGATGAGGTCAAAAGCTGCCAAACACTGTTCTGGTGTTGAGAACTGCATTATAGGTCATAGTGCCCATCCTCATTTCGAGGCAGCAGCAGCAGTGATAACTTGATTGCCCTTAGCAGTAGGAATTATTTCTATAATACATGTCTTTATTAACAGTCTTCAAAATACTCGTCTTTTCGAGGTTGTCACGGCCTGCTTTTTGTCAGGCTTTGAGTGATGGTTCTGACCGTTGTGGCAGAGCTGTAGGAGCACGTCTGGTGTGATCTGGTGTCCCCCATGTTACAGAAATCGTGAGGATTTTGATTCTGTCTCAAACCAAAGGTTCCCCAGAATGAGAGAGCCAGCTCCATCATTCTCCATCAGTAACCAGTTGCAGATATATAGAAGATACGTAAGGGTGGGGTTTTAATCTGTCTAATAGACGTCCTAGAAGGATGTCCAAGTGTATTCTCCCGTCTCCTCTTAGCTGTTGGTTCAGCCATTTCTCGTGGACCACTGCACTAGTAGATAAGGACGTGTGTCTTCTCCCTGAAAGGACGTTGCTCTTACCATTTCCAAGCGTGTGATTTCATTTGAAGTGTCTGCATGCCACAGGGCAGCGCGCACGAGTGACTCAAATCAGCTGTACACCGCTTTTCAACCCGCCTTCTGCAGGCAGCCTTGTGTTTGGCCTACCTGTGCTCGTCGCGTGCTTTGAAATCAGGAGGAGAAAGGCACCTCCTGTCTTTGATGGCGGTGATTCTGTTTCACGATGGGAAACCCGTAAAAAACTCCCTTCGGTCCCTTCCCCGGTGTTAGCTGCGTGAACAGCTCAACGGGGATAAGGCAGCGCGGTCCTTTCCATCAGGTGGCAGGCAGTCTCGCTTCGACAGCTTCCAGACTACAAAGGGAAAGGGGGCAGTAGGAGGGTGCACCACCGGCGTGTGTCTGTGGCGCTGTTAAGTTTTGATGCGTTTGCTACGTCTCTGTGCTTCTTTTTCTTTGTCTCTCTTTATTTTTCTTCAGTCGCGTTTAAGCGGTTTTCAAGACCCCAGTGGGATTTGTGAGAACAAAAGGGAATGAACAAAAAAAAAAAAAAAAGAAAGGGAGAAACCAGCAAAGGTGAAAAAACATTCCAGAAGTAGGATGGGGTGATAAAAAGTCAACTAGTGTAGTACAGCACAGGGGTAACCATCGTTCTCGGGGGAAGTCGGTGAGGTGGGGAACAGGGCCAGAAGTGACGGGCGAAGGTGAGCAGGGACCGAGCCCGACGTGCTGGAGGACGGAGCCGGACTGACAATGGCGAGTGTTGGACATGAGCTAAATCTGGTGGTTCGTGACGATGTGGTGGATCTGGAGAATGAAGTGAAACGAGGACTTGCAGCCTGTTTTTCCCCCTCGTCCCTATTTGCCATCACCTTTTACAGACTGTCTGATGTAGTTACCCAGTTTCGCTGCCTATTTGAAAATAAACGACGGGGTTTTTGTTTAGTCTGTAACATCGTCATTATTCACCCTATTACTGGAAGTAGTTTAATTTCAATCTTATCTGTTTTGACAGCTGAATCTTATCTTCCTGGTGATCACATTGTGCAAAATGGTGAAGCACTCAAACACTCTGAAACCAGACTCTAGCAGGTTGGAAAACATTAAGTAAGTGCTTTGTGTTCAAGTATGAGAACTATGATTATTTTCTGATTGCTGAACTGATTGAAAGCTACTCTCCATTAGGAGCACATGCCATTGTCTCCCAGCAACTGCAGATGTCAATTAGAAGCAAACAGAGCCAGTCCTGCTTTCGTCACATTGTTGCTGTAATGTCACAAGCGCCGGTCAAAATTAGATAATTTCAGCCTGGAACTAGTGCCAAGAAACTGTTTCACGGAAATGCCACAGCACTGTAGTAATTTCATTTGCATTTAAAATGCAGTTCAAAAATGATGTTCCTGTTTGCATGGCTGATATGATTATATTAAGTTTGTTTTGTTAAATGACTTTTTGATTTAGGGATTCTGAGCAGTTTCTACTCGTAATCCTGTTCTCCCAGGAGAATTGACTCTATTATTATTGTTAACTTGAAGATTATCTGCTGTTTTCATGCTAATTTAACAAGTGTTTACTTTATCATGGTGCTGTACTGCAGTATCCCTTTTGCAGAGTAATATAAGTGTCCTATAATTAACAAGGCTTGGGCAGCTCTTGCTTCTTTAGATAGTTTTTACTGGGTTCTGCATAGCTTTGCCTTGTACCGAAGGTGTTTGTTAACGACACTGAAGGGACGGTGCAGCTTTCTAGCACTGAGGGTTGGATGTGAAAGGGTCGTACAGATTTGCTTTGAATGTTGCAAATGGCGAAGGGAGACGCTCAGAAGGGCTAACGTTGTGAAGTAGCTGTTCTAGACAGGGCAGTACCAGCTTCATTGCATGTTGCATGACGAGAGAGAGAGCTAATCTTTAGCATCTCTCTCTTTTCTTCCTTTTCCTCTTTCTGTCTTCTCATCCACACCAGTAATTACCGTGTTTGTGATGGCTACTATAATACGGACTTACCTGGGTAAGATAGAACCCTACATTAACAAATTTCTAGCATGATTTTTAACTTTACAAACTCGGTCAATATTGTGGATTTCCCTTAATTTTAATTAACTAGTTTTGAGATACCTGATTTGCTAAAGAATTTTTAACTATTATATGCCTTTATAATTTTAAATTGCTTGCCTCTGCATTTTGAATTTCCTAATTTTGACTGATTTTTATAGACGATTAAAAATGCTTTTATTAATTTCTGTTTCAATTCTGTCTAATAATTTTGTTTCTCTTTTCTGCTTATAATGCTTTCTAGCTATGAAGATAATAAGCCATTTATCAAGTAAGATCATTAGTTAGATGTGGAATTCACTGACTAAATTCCCTTTCCCTTTCATTCTGTGCCGTTCTCTACAACTCCTTTTCCTTAACCTGTTCATGATGGAATCTTTTTTAGACTATTCTGTAGAGCAATACCCATGTTTTTGTCACATTTCAGCAGGGTTGCTTCACGCGGAGGTTAGATCATCTAGCTTCGGTTTAGCTGAGTTTATCGGAGCATTAAAGATTTGGGCTCTAGGCTTTTAATCTGCTGTTTAACCTTTGTGCATTTGTGTTACATTATTTGGTGTCATATGGCAGCACCACTGTTTAAAATCTATGGTGTGATTAGTGGCTAAGCCAGATTTATCAATCTCTTTTCTAAAAGCAGATAAAGCAGTGGAGTAGCTGGGGCTTGCGCTAGGCTTCTGCATTTCAAAATAGTTTTGACATCCTTTGCAGTTCTTGAGAAAGGAAAAGGTCATATATCTACTCTTGCTGTTTTCACTGGAGACTAAGAGTACTAAATGGAATTGTTCTTCCTTTAATAGATAAAAGGTTAAACCCAAGGAATTTTTACATTTGAATATGAACCTAGTAAAAGTCAACTGCAGGAACTGAAATGTTAATATTGGGTTTGACGACATGCCTTCTCGTAAGCAACGTTACTAAACTGGGTTTTCTTTTCCAGATCCTGGGTCCTGGGTGCATTTGCTCTCCTGTGTCTCCTTGGCCTAACATGGTCATTTGGCCTGCTGTTTATCAATGAGGGGACTGTCGTGATGACGTATCTCTTCACAGTATTTAATGCTTTCCAAGGAATGTTTATTTTCATCTTTCATTGTGCCCTTCAAAAGAAAGTAAGTTTCTGAAAACACAGATGCGTGTTCCCTAACTCCTTAAAAATGCCTCACGTATTTCTTAAAAAAATAGAGAAAAAAATAGCAGTGTCAAGAACTGGAGTATTTTGATGTAGTTTGACGGGGATCCAAAAGCAATTCTTGCTCTGTGTGTCTGTGGGAGTCACGTAACTGCTCTGTGGCCTGGGTGGCTTTAAAGCGGATGCAGCATTTCCAGCCTGGACTTGCAAAGTTTTGAGGCTTTGGGAAGAAAACTGCTGCAGAAAACGTGCCGTTTGGCATTGGTGACGTGGTACCTCTTAGTCTGGACTTACAGCCAAAAGTCCTTTACGTGTGCATGGAACAAATCCTGCCGCTGCAGCAGCACTGCGAACAAAGCGGCATTTCCAATATCAGCCCATCTCAGCCTGGAAGCTCTCCCCCTTTCTCGGACCAAGGCAGAGGACCTCTCCTGAGGTCCCGTGACACTGCCACAGAAAGCTGCAGGTGACAGGCCAGGGGTTGTACCGCCAGTGCTGGCTCGTTGCAGAACTGAGACATAAAAATGAGTTTTATTACGGACTTCGACACACCTTAGAAAACAACTCGTCATTAACACTAGCCAGACACTAACGAGGGAAGTTTTCCAAAGACACCGGCGTGACCGCTCTCTCCCAAGCGTTTGCCTCCCCCAGCAATCCCACAGCTTCGTGCTCTTAACTGGAAAAACTGGAATCCCCTGGCAAGAGCCTTCCCTCCCGAGTGGGATGTGCTCCGATGGGAGCAGGCGGGTCGCGAAGGAGCAGGTCTGCTGGGGAGAGAGGCAGCTCGCAGGGGAGAGAGGAGCGGTTAGGAGAGGAGGAAGGGAAGGGTGCAGCTGGGTGGGCTTCTCTTTGGGTTCCCTGCGCCCCTTCTCTGCCCCAGGCTGGGGCTGGAGGCTGCTTCCAAGGATGCCCGAGAGGTTCTTCAGTGGAGGACAACACGGTAGGCTGTGTTAGAAGGCATGGCAGATGTCACCGGCGTTGAGAGGAAGGGTAAACGTCAACAAATCCCACCCGAAAAAACTTAACATCAGATGTAATACATCCTACGTTTGGAAATACCCAATTTGCAATATTTAGATTCTAAATATTTTTACCAGTTTTAGGCTGGAGACCTAGCAATTATTAACTCCCATTATAATTAGCTCACCAGAGACATAATTAACTGATATTTATAAAGTGGTTTGAGACCATTGGATGAAGCGTTCCTCTCTAAGTACGAAAATTGCGTTCTTCTGTGTTCTGAACTGTACCAGCTCTAACGGTATCGGCGTCTCTAAATTTGGCGTAGGCAAGGGCATTCAGCCACGTTTTAGGAAAAGATCTGGTAGACAGACAGAATTTTACCCAGACGCACGCGGCACTCCTCATTTTGAGAGAACAAAAGCCCACTTGGAGAGCAGATTGAGCCTAAGAAAAGGAGAGGGGGAAGAAAACGCAAGCCTTCTCAAAATGCAAATAATTTCTAGATTAGGGCTTCATATAATGTTGCCCTTTCTACCACTTGTATTGGACTCGAAAATCAAAAGCAGATTCCTTTTTTATTTCTTTTTACAGCTGTGCATTGTTTTTATATTAAGTGGAGTCAGCAAAAAGCAGTATTAAAATACCAGTCAAGTGTGAAAAAGCATAACCTAGAGCAATAAGATTTATACCTGAAAGAATATTAAAGCTGCCATTTAAGATTTTTAAGTTTCAGTGCCTTTGACTGGATATCATCCTATCCTCTGTCTGCATAGCTAATGTACTCTTTTTATTCTGTTATTACTAGTTGGTCACTAAATTGAACAGAGAAATAGAATTGTGAAAGTGAAAACTATTATGTTTCCAGTTCTGACAAGATGATAGTGCTGTTGCTTCCATCAGTTTCCAACAAGCTATAATTTAGAAATAATGACAGTGGAATGCACAGTACTGACAGATAATGTACATTCACTGCAATATAGGCATTAGGCAAAACCAGCCCGGGAGGGTGGTATTTGGGTAAAAATACAGTTTTGATTGCTATTGTCTCTGCTGCGTAGTGGTTTGGAGCCTTTAATATCCACTAGTGTGAAAGAATGTATTTTCTTCAGTGTAATACCATCTAGTGATGATATATAGAGACTTAACATTTTTCAGACTACAGAGGTAAAGGTTGTAATTCTATGTCCGTGCATTTCTGTTTTCGTTTTTTTTAATGTGTCTTCTGTGATGATACAGATGGGGGTTCACTTAAAATGTGCCCCATGTGCTTTCATAAAAACATGACTTATTGTCCCTAGCTTGAAGTGAAGGCACTAACTATTCCAGAAATTTTCTTCACCCTTGTGGTTTATAGAAACATCCACCGTACGTATTCTGTGGGTAAAATTCTTGTAATACTGAAAACAGCACGTGGCATGTGTACATCCACACCGTGACCTTTTTGCCTTTTCCCCTCTCCCCTTTTTATACACACAGAACTTTCTTTCTGTCCTGTATATTCATAGGCCAAGCGGAATTTCCAGATTAGCTGAAATCCCACTTTTCCCAGAAACTTAGGCGTCTCACTGATGTGGAAGAGACACTTAGATTCCCAAGTGTCTGGGGGAAGATTGACAAATTCAGACTTAACGCACCTTTACAAATGCTGCCCAGTGCGTCCTTCCGCCCTGCTGTCGTGCTGCCGCGATGTCTGCGCACTCTTCTCCTCCCTGAAAGTCACAGTCGGTGGGGCAGCCACCGAATAGGGGAGAATTAGCTGCTCTGTAGATTAATCCCGATGGCTTTCATGACAAAACGTTGACGTTGAATCAGAAAACTGAAGTTTCCAGTCGGTCACTGGAAGCAGAAGGTGAATGAATGCAGCCCAAGTGCTGGAGCCATGAAGTCGTCGTGTTGCTCTGTCAGACCCAAATCTCACCTACGTGGGGACATCCACGCTTCTAGGTTCTGCAGAGGCAGCAATGAGGATTTTGTGGTTTGGTTCTAAAAGTGAAAGGCGCTTCATTTCCCAGCCTTTATGGTTCAGAGTTTGGCGCTGGCAGCCCGGGGGGTGCCTCCCCCCGCCTGGAGCGGGGCCGTGGCGTGGGGGAGTGCCAGCCTCGCAGCTGCGTGACCGTGCGAGGTGGCAGCTCGGGGAGCGACGCCGAGGAACGGGCTGGGCCTGGGCAGTGACGGCGGGGTTGGTGCCCTTGGAAGGGCTGACGCAGTGGGCAGAGGCTCGGTACCTCAGCCCTTGGGCGTGCTGGGCTGGGAAAATAGGCATTCTGTGGTTGGAAAGAGAGGCTTTCTGTGGGTTTTGCCCCAAAAGTTCGTATAGAAAGGACTATTTTCAGCCAGCATTCAATTCAGGTGAACTTCACTATATTCATCTACAATATGAAGACGAAACAAAAATAATCCCATCAATAACTCAGTAATGATTATTCAGGCACATGTAAATGAAGCACGTGCATACCTTGGAAGTAATTTGTCCGGAAATCTGGGATACTTGATAATGCTGCCGCTAAGTCGGGAAAAAACACCCGATTTTGCTGCTGGCCAACAGACAAGAATTACCTGTTTGCTTGAGAAGTGTGTGAGTGGTTTCAATGCAAGGTTCGTGTTTGTGCCAGTGGGTTTTTGCGCTAAGAAATCTTTCTTTCCCCCCGTAGGTACGTAAGGAATATGGCAAATGCTTCCGACATTCCTACTGCTGTGGTGGGCTGCCAACTGAGAGTCCCCACAGCTCGGTGAAGGCATCAACGACAAGAACGAGTGCTCGCTATTCCTCTGGCACTCAGGTAACAAAGATTTTGACAGCATCTCTTAATTAACCTTATTTATAAGAAAGCCTACTGAGATGTGTTACAATCAGGAGCACTAATTGTCTCCTCATTATTATCATTTAGATGGCAAATACGTACTTCTGCGTAGTAGAATTTATTTCTTTTTAAACATTTCCTTTTACTTTGGTCTAATGCAAGCACCTTGTTTTTCTTGTAATTAGGGGCTGGCTTATAGGAACTTTATACCATCGTGTTTCATCTAAATGAAATTTAATAAATTAAGAGTTTTAATAAGAAGAGTTTCACTGTGTGCTAGAAGAATGGCTTGCTTTAGGCCAAAATAAACACAAATACTCCACATAACAGCACAGAAGTAGGAAAAAACATTTTTGTAACTTACTGTGCTTCTGTCCCACTGCTTTGTGTTAACAGAGTCGTATAAGGAGGATGTGGAATGATACTGTGAGAAAACAATCTGAATCGTCTTTTATCTCAGGTGACATCAACAGCACTTCAACACTTAATCAAGGTCAGTCACTGGGAACATTTCGGTTTTAGAAGCCTTAAATTTTATAGAGATCTTATATCATTTAACACAGAAGAATTAAAAAGAATGTTTTGGAAAAAAAATAAAATTCTGGAACAAATGTTCTCTAAAAGCAGAGTTTTAAAGTCATCCACCAGCCCATTTTAAAACCGTGTTCCCTCAACTGGCCCCTTGCTATAGAAGTTGAATTCCTCCATTCATGGGAATGTATTTAAAGAAGTTTCATCAATAATTTAACTTAAAAGCAAGATCATGATTTTAAATCTTTCCTAACCTTTATAGGTTAAATCTGAAACAGAAATATGAGTACAGTAACATTTTAATGCAGATTTGACTATGATTTTTAGCTGCAGAAATTTTCCCAGTGAAATCTAATTGATATCATTTCTATGCAAAAGATGTCTGTAAAGCATTTATCTTTTCTATTTCAAAGAGCATCATATCTGTCACACGGGATAGAATCCAGATTTTCAGGCACCGAGAAGCCAAAACTCCAAATTTCTCGGCTCAAACAGGCTTGGCAATCTGTAACCTCATTCTCATCTCCGGTTAGAAGACAAGGGTATAACCGAGACAGAACCTCCCTCCCTTCCTCCCCTCCCGCCGTGTGTTTTTAAGGCAGCTTGAGCTAGCGGCGGAGGGAAGGCTGCTCTGTGCCAGCCAGGTTCAAAGCCCGTTCTTCCACCCAGCCCTCCAGCAGGAGAACGCGTAGCCCTCATCTCCTTCCGGCCAGTGCCCGCTCAGATCAGAACGTTTCGAGCAGAAAATGCACCACTCAGGGCCGCTGTGAAGCCCTCAGCCACCACAGCGAGCAAATTTTCCTCCCTTGTTTCTTTTCAAGAGCTGCTAGAAGGGACACGTACTCAACTCACGCTCCTTTTGGAAGTAGAAAGCGGGGTATTCTGCACCAGAAAAGGTTTCGGAGAGCCTGATTCTGTTTCTGCTATTTGGCTTGCAGAAAGTGGGCAGGACGTGTGTGTCTCACTGCTCCCCCCGTCTGAATCTCGTATGTTCCTCTGGCAAAATCAAAATTAAGTAACTTCTCCTAAGTGGAAAACGTATGTTTTTCATGCT